CTATCGGTGTTGTAGATGGTAAAGCATTTACTTATTTCAATGCGATAAGTGCCGTTGAAACTCATTTGACGGATAATTACCAATGAAAGCGAGAAAAACCAAGGTGTTCATATGGACAAGCAGGCGTTTCACTGCATACCTTGTCGTTGCAAGAGACAGCTACATCAGAAGGAGACTAAGACGGTCAAGGAAAACGATATAGTAACAAGTAACACTGTTGTAGATAAAAGAAACCTGAAATTTGGTGGTCGGAATGTTTCGCCTGATGAAATCTTTCGAACTGATGAGGCAGATCAAACGGGATCAGTTGCAATATGCGACACTGGATGGGGTCAATCACAAGTCACACCCGAGGAACTAGAAGACAAAGTAGATAAGCTAGAATCAGAGGTTGGAAGGATAGACAAACATATAACTATTTTGAAGAATATTTTAAATGGTATGGATTAAAAACATCGTGTATAGTGACGGGACATCTTGGCATAAAAAGGCCCCCAAAAGAAGGAAGTGAGCCAATGCCCCCATCTGCCTAGCAGGTTCTACAGGTTCACAGGCAAACCATACTTGTTTGGAAATGACACTAATTCGTAATTAGTTTCGTTAAATCTTAAGGAACCGGTGCCAATTTTCATAATATCTCATTCTGAAAAACGTTTATAATAATGATAATGCCAGTAAGAGTAAATGGAATATCAGTTGATTTTGATCCATATACCGAAACAGGTAATGTTGTTACTAGGAAGTGTTATCGTTGTAAGCAAGTCAAAGACATTGATTGTTTCAAGCGTTGCTATTGCGTTGGTAAGCATTCTTATTGTTATGTTAAATACACTGCGACTTGTTCATGTTCTGAATGCTTAGATAATGGGCAGAGTATACACTTAAAGAAATGACACTTGTATATTATATATTGAGTACTGGAAGGCAGAAAATATTGCAGTGGTTGCCAATTAATGCAGAAGATTGGGAAATTTAACGACAACCATAAGACATGCAATGTATGTAGATAAAAAGCACAAAGACTACAACAAAGACACAAAGAAAGACTCAATCAACAGAACAAAGAACACAAAGCCAGTAACCCCGAAAAAGTTAAGGAATGGAGACAGAACCGCTTCAATAGAATCAAGGATGAGGTTGTTACATGTCCTGTTTGTAATTATGAAATAAGGAAATACAAGCAAGCCCAACACGAAAAGTCGCAAACGCAGCAGTATTATATGCAGAAGCTAACAGATCCGATTTTGAGAAGGATGTTCCCAAACCAGACAAGATCAGAGAGATAAACGGCAAAGAATTGCTGCAACACTTGCCGTTCTAGCTACTGGCCTCAGATGTGGCCAAGACAGTTTAACAAACCGCCACATTTGAAGCTAGAGACTGCACAACATTCTTGGAGAATCCGAGAAGATTAAGCGAATGCTTAACCCTAAACCCTGAACCAAAATTCTATAAGGAACCCCTTGCCAGTTTGAGCTATGGCACTTAGGTAGAGGTGTTGGAGTATTACCAGGATTGTATTCTTAGGTTGGGATAGGGATTGTGATATGGCTGTGGGGCTAGTGGTGCCATGCTTGCTCCTTTTGGGCCGCGGGACGGCGAGTCGACGGCGAGCCGACGGCACGGGGCGCAGCTAGGGGACGTCGATTTCACGAAGGGGCAGCGAGGCCGCGCCGACTCAGGGAAAAAGATGCTATGCAAAGCCGCATGCGTTTGAGCTGCTCCCTCGCTCTCTCCCTTGCTCCTTGCTTGGCGCCTTCATTGCAGCGGGAGCGGCTGGAAGATGCAGGTCTGGCGATCGCGACGTAGAGCCAGTGCTTTAGGCAAGAAGCGGCGCAGAAGCGGCGCGGCGAGTGCGCCTGCGGGAACCAGCCCGAGGCCTCCACGGTGCCGCCGGGCCTTAGTTCACCAAAAAGCAAAGGTTCGGCGGGGTATCGCAGACTCTGCTCGGCACTGCTCGGCTCCCCCGCCCCACGCGGTTGCCGTAGCTCCAGCCGTTGCCTGAGCCGCAAAAAGCGGATCAGACGAGGAGCTCTCTCCACACTCATGCTGGCTCGGGCACCGAAGCTTTGCACGGTCACGAGGTCGCCGGGCTTCAAGGCCAAAGCTTGGACCTTTTGAGAAATGCGCTCACATCATCACATCTCTGCACAAAGCACAAACGGAACTTCGACCTCCGCGTGCTCCGAGGAGTCGTAGGGACTGTACCTTAAGGACGTGACTTTAAAGCACGCCGGTGGAACTTGCTGCTGGCTGCCGAGGAACACCCGGAAGAGCGCCAGCGTCAGCACGCAGCGAGGGACCCAGCCAGCATCGCTCTGCATCGACCAGTCCTTCACCCCCCCCAAAGATGACACTTTCCATCAAGAAGCTGACTGCAAAAAGCTCAAAAAGCTCGGAAATCTGTGCTACGAAGAGGCGCGGCGACTTGGACGAGTAATTACCCGGACTCGTCAAGCAGAAAGTCGGTCGGGGCTCTCCTTGAAAACTTGTCCCAGGGCCCAGTCGCTGTTGGGATCCAGCTGCAGCACCTCCGCAGCGCGGCGGGGAGGGACCAAGATCTTTTTCACTCTCTCCGAAAAGAAGACAGGGGCCGGCTCAGGCCCTCTGAAGCTGACCCGAGCCGCTCCCTCCGCTCCCTCTGCCAATCCCGCAATGAAGACCCGGCTTTGGACCATGGAGCTCTGCTCTGCAAACAGCGGCGTGTTAGCGGCTGGCATCACAAGAAAAGAAAAGGCTTACAGGAGCAGGACACAAGTGCAGGGGGGCGCACCCAAACGCAGGTGCCACGCTGAACCTGGCTACAACTCTTCAGCTCTCACAGCCGACCACTGCTCTGGGCGTCCCGCCGCAAGCGTACCACCCTCCAGGGCCTCTGCATGAGTGCACAGAAAAAAGTGTTCCTTGAGGACTCCGCTCTCATCTCAGCGGCCTCCCACTGGCGGTCTGCCTGGAAGAGGCCCGTGGAAATGCTCCCGGGGCTCGACGTCTCCGTGGGACGCCGGTTGTTCGGCTCCGTTCTGGAAGGAACCGCGGTGTTCGGCGGAGGCGTGGCCGTGGCCACTGTGGCGAGCTCCCTCGCCGGGCTTTGGCCGAGCTCCCTCGCCGAGAGTGGCCCATCACCGCCGTCTCCGTTCACCTCCACCGACTCTCCTCATAAGCAGGATGCTTGGGCCAAGAGCCAACATCCACATTTTGGCAAAGTCCTCGCGTACTGCTTGAAGATCTCGCCGAAGATCTCGTGCAGGACGTGAAGCTTTGATCAAGTCCTGGCACGTCCGAGACGTTTCTCTTCACCGAGCCTCCTCGCCCAGGGCACCTGCAGGTCCTTCTTTGGAGTCCCACACTGGAGCCTGAGACGCGCAGGAAAGCACCACTCCACATCTCAAGCCCATGCCCGTGCCTCTTCCAAACTCTTCGCCGGCGCCTCACAGTATGCAATGCGATTCGTGCCTCGCAGGAGTGCTCCAACCGGTCCCGCCTGGGGCGCTTTGCTTAGCGCCACTGCGATTTTCATCGGCTCCTGCCAAAGTTGAACACCCGCTGCTGTCTGCACTCAGCGAAAGCGAGAGCCAGGGAGAGACTCAGAGAGCGGAGGCGGGCAAGGAGGGCTCATGGACAGTGGGAAAAATTACGAACAGCTGACCAAAGCCAATGAAATGTCTCATGCTGTGAATGCTCAGGTGGGATTTGGAACTGAACCTCAACATCAAGAACAGAGAACCTTTGTTGGACAATTCACCGGCGAAGGCCATGAGTAATTACATGTGTGAAAAATTATTAAAAGAACGGGCTTCACTCAATGTTCCTACTCTCAAACACTGCGGCTCATTTTTCCTGCTCACCGCTAGGCGTGTCTCTGTCCTGAGCCTATATGTCGCAGACGTGTCAAGGCTGTTCCTGCACATTCCCCAACACTGCAAATTGTGTGTTCCTACGGAATGTTTAACACCCCGCATTCGAAGTTAGCGAAAGTCGTTTCAGACTAAGCTGGCTTCGCACACTAGTGAAAGTCCACTTGCAAACTCTCCAAGCTTGCTGTTCCTGTGCTAAGGGAAAACTTCCTTGGTACGTTACTTGGAACATCATCCTTGCCGCGCAGAAAACACGGTTCCCAGTGCGTGCGCACGGTTACTCCATCCTGCACTGGACGGCTCCTCAAAAACGGCTTCCTGTAAAACGCTGCCGACTCAGTCCTTTGACCTTCTCGGTCTCACGGTTATTTCCTTTGCTTTGCTTCTTCGCTCCTTCTTCTTGACTGCTTCTCCTTTGCTTCGCCTTTCCTTCACAGGAAATTTGGGACCTCGCTTCCTTTGCTTTGGTCTGCTACTTTGGTTTCTGCCTTTCCTTCTGTTCCTTCTCCTTTCTTTCCTCTTCCTTTGTGGCTCAGCATCTTCCTTTCCTGGTCTTCACGCCTCTTCATTCCTCCTGCGTCTCTGTGCTGCTTCACCCATTTTCCTTTCTCGGGGTTGTAGTTATACCACAGTCGACTGCCCATGTTCCATTTCCACCGGTAGCGCTTGTCACCAAAGTTCAAGACTGCGTCGTAGTTCCTGTCGTTGGTTCCTTTGACGTTTCCTCTCCCTTTGATGAACTGCTTCTCCTCCTGGGGTCCTTTTGTGTCGATTTCCCTTTGCTTGCTCCTCTGACGCCTGTTCCTTCTTCTTCTTCTCTGCTGCTGCCTGCTGCCTCTGGGCTTCCTTCTCTGCTGCTGCTGCTGCCTCCTTCATCTGCGTTTCCTCTTCTGCTTCTCTTGCTGCTGCGGCTGCTTGAAGCAAGCATGTCATCGTAAGAGTGGATTGAAGGCGAAGATCCGCCTGCCTCTCCAAAGTGGAACCTTGAAGGAGCAGCTGAACAATCAGAAGCTGTGAGGCAAAGGATTGATGAAGGAGCCGGAAGTTAAAGAAAGACCAAAAAGGGTTGCGAAAGGTGAACCCTCAGCAAGGGTACTGCGGATACAGCAAGTCCGAAGTGTGAAAGAAATTGAAACGTTCTTGAGAAAGGAGCATCCAAGGTACCACATAGATGAAGAAGTTGAATTGGATGAGTTCGAAGAAATAGAAGCAACAAACGAAGCTGATGATGAAGAAGAAGATTACATGTCAGATGGAAAAGATGAGATTTCAAAGGAAATCCCAGCATGGTCGAATATTTCGACAGGGACCATCATAGTTGAGCGAAGAAGAAATAGGAAAAGTTGAAGGTGTTTCCAGGATGAGTGAAGACTAACCAAGATGGGTGTATTGAAGGAAGTCCCCCGAAGGAACTGATGTGTCAGGGTACAACTTTCTATCAACAAAGGTGGTGGGAAGGTTAGTAGCTCGTGAGTTCAGATGGCTATCATCCTACGACATTGCAAGTTTAATTTCTCCGACACGAGTTGCAAGCACAGTGGAACTACTGTCAGTACTGTTTACATCATCAGATGGGTACACCCTTGGAAGCACTTATGTTGGAGATGCTTATCTGATGGTGGAGCAAGACGAACCTACCGTTGTAGAAGTTGACGGAAGATATTATGAACTGCGATTCCCTCTCCCAGGCAAACGGATGGGTCAAGCTCATGGTTCAACAATCTGAAAGGAACTTCATCGCTACGTTGTGCAATGCTCTCTTCACGCATGCGGAACACTTTTCGAGCACTGCCAAACCCAGAGAGTTTGTACAAAAAGAATGGAAAACGAATTCGACCCGGTCCCAGAGCAAAGAGGACTGGAAAGTCCTGAGCAGTTTGCGGACCTACTCGAGCATGTTATGGTCCTTGGAACGACGAGGTTTCGACTGTGCGCGAAAAAACCCATCGGAGGACCAACTATACATGATTTGCGACCCCTTCTATACAAGCGTGGGCGGGCAGGGCGGGCTGCTACAATTTGCCCTTTTAGCCCAACAGCCGCGAAACGTTCCTTAATTCACGAGGGCGCAAGATCAAGGAACTTCATCGCTATGTTGTGCAATGCTCTCTTCATGCATGCGGAACACTTTTCGAGCACTGCCAAACCAAGAGAGTTTGTACAAAAAGAATGGAAAACGAATTCGACCCGGTCCCAGAGCAAAGAGGACTGGAAAGTCCTGAGCCCCTTTCCACGTCCCCTCAGCTGTCGTACAAACGAGGCTCAAGGGCAGATTCCCAGAACAACGACTTGACTCGGCTCGCACGCGACGGCAAGCTATGGGTGAGGTCAACGGCAATCGCCATGGAATCCGAAATGTAGATGCGAGCCGTACGCTCGCTGTTCCAGCGACCGGCCTGGCAAACTTGAGCATAGCTGCCTGTCACCTGAAACATGTAGGTTTCTCGCCCTCTACGGAGGGAGTACGGTTTAAAAGAGTGGGGCAGATCAACGAAGTCAAGAGCTTCGCGGAAGAGCTTACGAAATTGGGACTGAGGAATATTCACAGAAAGCGCGAAGAGGCAGAACATTCGCGCCAATGAAGCAAATGCGAAACCAGGGCCGGCTTTTTGATGGTGACAGCTTCACGGGACATTGTTCGCGCAGACGTTTTGGTAAAGTTGAGGTTTATGATAGCGGCGTCGTGTCCCCTTTTAACTTGAACATGATTGGCTTGAAGCTGCAGCAGCTCACCTGTGCGCAACAAACCGTAAAGCCCCACCTGAACCGCCAAAGCCACGGATGGCAAGCCGCGTTGAAGGAAAAAGGCGCTCATGGCATTAACATGCTGGGGCGCAAGAGCCGATGCACGGGCAGGAAGTTCATGTTGATTCCAAGCCTTGAGCAAGCGCCAGGCCCCTGGAATGTGACGGCGAACATGTGGCAGACGGTCCTGCATACCTGCTAAACAGTCGGATGCATACCCACGCGGGTCACCTTCCTCCCAAAGGTGTTCAACAAACTGACACAAATGACTGTCCAGCTGCTCATATGATGCAGCTAGTGAAAACTTGTTCCAGGCCAGAAACGAAAAGAAACGCTCCAATTCTTTGGTGTACCGTTGCAGCGTGGCAGGTTTCACTGTGAGAGAAGCCAAACTGCCTAGTTTAGACCTCCTCACGGCTTGTGCCTTGCGCGTTGTTGCCCTACGATTTTCCCCTTTCCCATTTCTTTACGCGTCCCGGCAAGGCCCTGCTAGGCCTGTCCGCCGGGTTTTCCTGCGAAGCCACGTAAGCCAGGAAGGGCACGAGCCCTGAAACCAGGAGCCAAGCAGCTAAACGGTACATGACGGAGCGAAGTTTGCGCGATGAGGAACGGCCTTTGTTGCAAATATGCAGAGCAACCATTGAATCAATTAGGCGTAAAGCCTTGCAGTTGTTGTCCAAATTTCGGCCGACGCGCCAACGAAATGAGGTCAACAGCGCCTGCACCTCCAAACTGTTAATAACTGTTAATATGCTCGTGGGAGCGGCGCCATTTCCACGCACACACCGTGCGCCAGGCCCATAAGCGACTAGGAATGCTTGTGCGCAGACGATGAAAAGATGGTGTTGGCTCCGTTCCGGCCAAAAGCAGTACGTCTGCGCCTTTGTTTGACACCAGCGAACAAACCTTGGAGACCAGTGAGATTTGACGTTCACGATCGAATTTCAAAAGTGAAGGCCCAACTCCTTTTGGAGGGAGCCGTAGAAGGAAGGAGGGCAGATCGTCAGCCATCCCCGGAGTGCAACGATCAACAATAGTCTGCACTGTGGTTGGAGGAATAAGGGAGTACTTGGTCAAGAGTGCAGCCACAAGTATGGCAACACAGGGGACCGACTTGGCATTGCCCAGCAAAGACAGGCGCATGTTTTGGACATCTTGAGGGCAGGACTTGCGCAAGGCTTTGTTACAGCACATCGCTGTGTAACCTTTCGCTCTTCCACTGACGGGAGGCGCCGAAAACCCTTCTTGTTAACCAAACCATGGCGAAACTGATAGTGATACGGAGGGAATTTGTGGCAGTCCTCAGCCCATCTTTGCAGTGTTGGCCAGTCGCATTGATCCCAAGCCGGCCGGGCTATCACGAGGGGTGCTGGAGGGCTGGGATGTGGTGAATGTGGGAAGCCTGTGTTGCGGTCCTCCTGCTAGTTTAAAACCCGGGGACAAACAAGCGGAGTCATGAGCGGGCGAACTGCCAGCTCATGTGAAGCAGGAACTTGCCAATCAAACCAAAAAAGCCGCTGACGTCTGGCGACGGAGCAATCACCTGCATCCAACACATACGGTAGGATTTGTAAAGCTTTGGAGTGAACGGCCCGATCCTGAGGAGACATGCTGAACACATTTTCAGCGAGGAAATGTACCTGAGACCAGGTGAAAACGCGACGAATGCAATCTGTCACCTGAGTGATACTTGTGACCAAAGAGCTACGGAAACCCTGTTTTGCTTCTCGCCGGAAAACATTGAAACCTGAAGCACTTTGGCATGGGGGACCGCCTGCTACCAGGACCAATTTGGTCCTAGGGAACTTCCGAGCCCAAGACTGAACCATGGGGATGTCAATATCCGCGACATCAGACACGAAGAGTGAACTAGGGAAAAACGATTCAAGAACGCGTTGCCCCGTTGGGTCCGTGTCCA